ATCTCACCCAGCAGCTTCACATAAATGTTGAACAAAAGGGTCGAGAGGACCGACCCTTGCGGCACCCCAAAAACAAGGCGCCTCGAGGTCGACCTCTGACCCCCTGCCAACACAAACTGCATATTTGCAGTTTGCAGTTGCTCTGCCAACTGCAAACTGCAGAGAGGAAGGAGAACCACCGCAACACGGTGCCCCCCACTCTCAACCCCTCCAATCGACGCAGCATGATACCATGGTCGATGGTATCAAAAGCTGCTGAGCGGTCTAATAGGACCAGGACAGAGGAACAACCCCTGTCCCGGGCCCTCCAGAGATCATCAACCAATGCGACCAATGCCATTTCCGTGCTGAAACCCGGCCTGAAGCCCGACTGGTACGGATCTAGATAGACAGCTTCATCCAGGTACTGGGGAAGTTGTCGTGCCACCACACTCTCAACAATCTTCGCCACAAAGCGAAGGTTGGAGACTGGACGATAGTTTGCTAATACAGCCGGATCGAAGGAAGGCTTCTTGAGGAGGGGCCTCACCACCGCCTCTTTTAGGGAGGGAGGGAAGAACCCCTCACTCAACAAAGCGTTAATAATCTCCTGGAGCCAGCCTCATATGACTGTCCAGGAGGCCAGCACCAACCAGGAGGGACACAGGTCCAATAAACATGTGGCAGCGCTAAGCCTACCCAGAATCCTGTCCATGTCCTCAGGAATCACAAGTCAAACCCCTCCCAGATAACATTCTCAAGACCCACCTCCGTTACCCCATCTGAATCTACCCAATCGGAATCCAAGCCTTCCGAATCTGAGTGACTTAATCATTCAGGAATTGCATAAAATTCTCAGCCCTACCCTGCAAGGGGTCTTCCCTCGCTCCCAATTGAAGAAGGGAGTGGGTCACCCTAAACAGGGCTGCTGGGTGGTTCTCTGCAGACGCAATAAGAGCGGAAAAATAATTTGATTTTGCCGCTCTTATCGCCACTAAGTAGGTCTTAATGTGGGACCTCACTAGTGTTCGGTCAGATTCGGAACAGCTGGACCTCCAATTGTCTCCATGCGTCTTTTCTGGTGCTTCATCTCTCTCAGCTCCTCGGAAAACCAGGGAACCAATTGAGATCGGCACTGGGTCAGAGGCCTCAAAGGCATGACGCAGTCCAAAGCTCCAGCGGCCATCCTATCCCAGGCGGCCACCAGTTCTTCAGTCGAGTCATGAGCCAGAGCCTCAGGGAATGGCCCAAGCTCTGTCAGGAACCTATCCGGATCCATCAGGGGTCAGGGACGGAACCACCTGGTCGGTTCTGACTCCCTGCGGCGGAGGTTAGCGGCTCGAAAGTCTAGTCGAAAGAGTGAATGATCTGACCATGTCAAGGGCTTGGTGACTATATCCCCTATTTCTAGATCATTCAACCACTGACCAGAGACAAAAATCAGATACAGAATGTGTCCCCCCATGTGAGTAGGGCCTTGAACTAACTGGGTCAGGTCCATGGCCGTCATGGAGGCCATGAACTCCCGGGCTGCTTCAGATGTTTCACCGATGGATGGCAGGTTGAAATCCCCCATGACCATAAGTGTGGGGGTATCCACTGCCACAACGGCTATTATGTTGAGCAGCTCGGGCAGGGCCGCCGCTATGTGGCAGGGAGCCAGGTACGCAGTCAGCAAGCCCATCTGCACCCCACAACCCCACTTCACAAGGAGGGACTCACACCCTGCTATCTGAGGTACAGTGGCCTCCCTCGGACAAAGACCTTCATTAAGAATAGCTGCCATCCCCCACCCCTACCCTGGGCCCTCGGCTGATGGAATGCACGGAAACCTGTGGACACATTTCCACAATGTGGACTTGAATTATCTTGAATTGCTACTTTTGACGATAAAGCACTAGGGTGTTTCATTTCCTGAAGTATTTTTCTTTAGATTCTTATGAAAACAATCCTCAGAGGTCACACATTTAATTTTGTAGCAGCACACACAGTTATTGAATTAACAACAAAAGTTAATCTCATAACTCATATTCTTAGCTCCTGGCTGCAGGATTAGGAATACGATGATTTCCCTAAAATTGTTGATCAGCATTTGATGGGACTTGAGGATTTGATTACAAGTAGTCCTTGACTTATGACATAATGAAGCCTGCACATCAGGATTGCAGGTTGTGATGGTTTTTAAGCAAGGTGCCATGTGATTATCCTGCTTAACAACTCCCATCCCTGCGGGCCCTGAAGTGGTCATTAAGGTCCTGGAAGACCTAATACAGGCCTATGCATGCGTGCTCTGGGCCTTTCAAGGCCTAGCCACCCCAAGCACCCCATACTCTGCTTCCTGGCCTATCAGGTCACTGGAGGTCAAATTTCATGCAGGGCATGAAATTCCAAAAAATAAAAATTAGTTTATAAAAAGAGGCAGACTAGATCATTATTTTTGAACAAATAATAGAAATTGTTAAATGTGCAATTGCATTTGGGGATAGCAATTATAACCTTGACTACAAGTTCATAATATAAATGTATATGATTTTATGTATTTGATAACTAGGCATAAAATTTTAGTATAATTTTAAACACTTAAAGAAGATACACAGTTTTTTACAAATCCAATTAAATGGACATACATTCTTCATTTTGGAACCTACGGATGCTTTTTAGAATCTACAGCTGCCATCAGGTATATAAATGGTTGATAACAGTTAGGATAATGACAATTATAGTGTCACCTCACCTGCAAACCCCTTTTGGAAAATATGGTTTATATGATCAGTAAAGTGGTATTATTCCTCTTTTTTTCTCAGTCTGTCTACTCTTGAGATAGAGATGAGAGACAGATGGGGGGGGAGGTGGGGAGAGATAGGCAATAAAATAGAGATAGATAGAATAGAAGGAACTTGTTTAATATTTTCAATTTGCTATCCCAGAAACACCCTAGAATGATTTCCTGTTGTTGGATGGTTCCTTCAATATCCCATATGTGGCCACCAAAATTTGATTGCAAAATGGTCAATTATTAAACTGCAATTTTTGCATGATTTGAAGGTTGCAGGCATTTGAAGACCATGAATGGGCAGGCGGGGGGGAAGGATAAACAGCTTCCATAATACAAAACACTTTAATTTCCATTTTAATCCCATCAGCAATTGTTCATATAGTGTAGAAAAACAGTTTGAAAAATTATGAAAATACTATTGGATGATCAAGTTTCCTATGATTCACCAGCAGAACAGAAGCTCCTGACCCAGAAAGTCTCTGTCCCCACGCATCTGAAATGAAAATTTTAGGCTACAGTAGAAAAATTGACCAAGTAGCTGGTACAGTTTAAGAATACTAAGAGAGGATCATGTAGCCTTACAAAATAAGCTGCCATGGAGCTTGTTTGTTCATATGGTGGATAACTGTTCACAAATCACCCATTGACAAAAAGGCAAACTAGTGAAATGGTTTTCTGCCTTCCCATCTAGTATGCTAGGATGTTCTTTCACTCCTTAATTTATCTTTTTTGTTTTTATGGATAAGTAGACACAGTATTGCTTTGCAGCTACAAACAAGTTTATTTTTATTTGTACTTATATGGCCAAGAAGCAGTATTGGGAAGATTGTGTTGATTATTTATTAATAATGCATCCCAAGAAACATTTGGCCCATGTAAATAGTGAGTTGTGACCATAGTAGCCTTAAAGAAGAGTTTAAAATTCAGGAATTCAGTCACTTTTATTATAAAGAAGAACCTTTTTAAACCCACACTACTGTACAGGTTACTTAACTTTCTATACAGTAGTGGAAATATTAACATAGTTCTTTGTCTAGAAGGGAAGAGATTAATGTAAAGCTTATGCCTTAGATAATATTGATGGGTTTCTTGTAAATCGAAAGCAGTGTTTGACATTTCACTTTATTCTAGAGTCATTTTCAGGGCTAGCTTTAAATGCTACAATCAATGCTTTGATTTCTTTTCATTCATTTCTACTTTAATTTAATGTAATTGATACAATACTCAGACTGATAATTCTGCTGCATTCTGAGAAAGCAGAACACAATGAAGAAGGTTTTCCAGATATGTCTGACAATAGGCCAGTTTGGATATTTAGCACACCCATTTCAGCTGGGCAATCATCATGCCAATCAGAGTGGTTTTATGTGCAGAAATATTTTGCCAATCTGTATGTTGAGATGCACCTGGGTCTGTTTATCACTCCTTTGCCTGAAGAAAGAACCACTCAAGCAGATCACTGAAGGAGCAAATAAAGATTCATTTTGTTCTATCCCAAGCCCTTGTGCTGCCTAAAGCAAATCCAAATATACATGCCACTCAAATTAATATTTCTTTGATTCACATACCTTGTCTTAAGTATCCATACCTAGTTGTAAGTTAGTTCTTTGTCTAGAATGAACAAAGGTAGAAAGAATGGAAAAAGAAGGAGGAAGGAGCGCTACAGCTAATTAAACCCCATGGAATGGGAAAAAACAAAGGGACATACTGCCAAATCTTATTATGCTTGATAGACAGTAAGGTCTTTGATGGAACACTTCTCAGGATGCCAATAGAATTGTTCTCCTGGTTCTAGGGGAGGAAAGCTGGCCACAGACACATATATGTAACCAGTTGCTTTATTCTGCTTCATAGAAGACTCCAGCATATATAGTTTGAGTTGCCATAGTGAATGCATGTTTATTTATTTATTTATTTTGTTGCATTTCTATGCCGCCCAACTCCCAAGGGACTCTGGGCGGCTTACAACAGAGAATAAAACAATGCAACAATATCTCATACAAAAGTTAAAAGAAGACATTAAAATGTTAAAACACATACACTCCAATTTGTCTATCTGATTTGTCTATCTGATCAGATAAACACAATCTGTTTATCTGATTGTGTCAATATTGAGTGATGTTAATAAGCATATAGTGAACATTTTGTGGGCTAAGGACAAAGTTTTTATTTCAGTCACTGAAAAGATCCATGCTTATTTTTTAATTTTCAGAAAATAGCTCAATTTTTGTTTTCCTGTCCACAGGCCCTGTGAGCAGTATTTTGGTGAACAAATATGGCAGTAGGCCAATCATGATTGCTGGGGGGATACTGGCTTCATTTGGAATGATTGCCTCTTCGTTCTGCAACAGCGTCTTGCAACTTTACATATGTGTTGGTGTAATTGGAGGTAATATAACAATATCCTTTTATTTTATTTTCTTGATGTTCTCCTTCAGCATACATCTTTGGATTCTGATTCTAATTGATTGATTGATTCATTCCTTTCTTCAGGTTAGGATGTTGTGTGTTTTGCATAATTCTTTCTGCAACATTTTGCAATTACAGGAAAATAATTGATTGGTTTCTGGCAGTAATTATCATAATCATCGACTTTCAATTTTATACAAGTTCTTTTAGCTTCTCATTATTCTACTGCAGGTATCCTTACAAAGTATTCAGAGTTTAGATAACATGCCAAAATACCCATTTTCCTTTTCCAAGTTATAAGTTTATTCTAAAAGTGGCCTATTGGGGCATTTGAAGGACAGGTAGTTCTAACCAAAAAATTTGAAGTAAACTTAAAGGGAATGAAACAATGTACTGAAGCTCAAATATAACTCATACTATATTGTCCTTAATAGAATTTCCTTTTCACTCAATTCTCAAAGTTAAAGCATTGATAACTTTATAAATATATTCAAAACATTTTTTTTGCTGATCAGCTACTATCTGGAAAATTGGATTAACCTGTTTACCAAACATACTTATGCAATAGTCACTGATCCACACATGATGATTATTTGACCATGATTGATCATTTATATATACCGTATATATTACATTATAGTTACAATTTTTGTGTCACTCCAAATTCACCATTCAGGCAAGTTGGATCATAACCAGCTTTAAGATTCAACTTAAACTTAAAATTCAGCCTTTTAAGCAATTCTTGCAGTACACTCAGCTGTTTACCAACTTCAGTCATAATGACTTGGTTGTCTGAAACCCCATAGGAGGAATACAGGTTAAGTTAATGCAGAACACATTTTATGATACCTTTCTATCCAAAGAAAGATATATAACAACTCTGATGAAAATTTGAATTATTATTATGACAATTAGAATTGAAAAATAAAGTTGACTTACCAAATGATAGGGCATATTATTAGCATATAAGCAAAGTAAAACAAAACAAAACAAAACTTGTTTCATTGTCACAAACATGTATTTTTTTTCATAAAATTGCCTTTAATAATAGAGGTTGGTAGAATAGGGAAAAAATAGATTTCCCCCATATTTTTATATCTAATGCTATATAATGATATATGGGGTAAATGAACTGTTTGCATGCTTGGGCCAATACCTTCTGCTCTTCCTGCAGAGATCCTTGTATCTGCATAAAGAAAACTACTGTGTATTTCCAGACTTCATGGTGAAAACTGAGGGTTGCATTTGCTGTGTAATAACCCATGTGTATTAATTATTTGAAGCTTATTTTATGTGTTCCTATTCAAATCTAAGTAAAGGATAAAACTAAAAGCAGAGGATTTAGACTTCTAAAATCTACCCTTTTTATAGAAAAGTGACATTTAATAACTCCTGTGCAATGAACCAAGAGCAAATTGGATTGTAGCATAGTAAAATATACAAACAGTGTCTTCAAGGTCTTGTTATCATTGTTCTCCTGTCATTCTGTTGTCTGCAACTTGGATTGGCCATTGCTAAAGCTTTTGCTTTTATTGCATCGCCATAGAAGAAAATGAGTGAGTGAAATGTACTGTGGCAGATTGGTGACATTAAAGCATGTGGGAAGCAATGCCTATTTGTTTTTATTTGCCAGTGTCAGTGGCTTTTTTGAAAGGCCTTTCTTCTGAATTACAGGTTGGCATTTTCACATTTGAGCAGGGGGAGATGGGAGAGGCAATTTTGATTGATTTGGAGAGATTTGTTGCAATGTATTAAATGCAGTAATTTTCTATTTTTTCTATTATTTTAGGTTTGGGTTTGGCTTTCAACTTGCAACCTGCCTTGACGATGATTGGCAAATATTTTTATAAAAAGCGTCCTATTGCTAATGGACTGTCCATGGCGGGAAGTCCTGTCTTTCTAAGTACTCTGGCACCCCTGAATCAGTTTCTTTTTAATGCTTTTGGTTGGAAAGGAAGTTTCCTCATTCTGGGAGGACTTCTTTTAAATTGATGTGTGGCTGGGTCACTTATGAGGCCTGTTGGACCAAAACCTGTGCAGGCTATCAAAAAAGATGTGGAAAAAGCAACTGAAGATTCCACTTTGCACAAGAATGACAAGAAATCGGTCTGGCAAACCATCAACAAATACTTAGATTTAACCCTCTTCAAACACAGGGGCTTTTTGATTTATTTGTCTGGAAATGTTATCATGTTTCTTGGCTTCTTTGCCCCAATTGTGTTCTTAGCTCCTTATGCTAAGCACAAAGGAATTGATGAATATTCAGCAGCTTTTTTACTCTCTATCCTAGCTTTTGTAGATATGTTTGCCAGGCCATCAATGGGCTTAATTGCAAACTCCAAATACATCCGGCCCAAAATCCAGTATTTCTTTAGTTTTGCTGTTTTGTACAATGGGGTCTGCCACATCCTTTGCCCATTGGCTGAAACCTATACAGGCCTGGTTGTGTATGCTGTACTTTTTGGACTTGCATTCGGAATGGTTAGCAGTGTCCTTTTTGAGACATTGATGGATCTTGTTGGGGCGCCAAGATTCTCCAGTGCAGTAGGACTCGTCACAATTGTGGAGTGCTGCCCTGTCCTTTTAGGCCCACCTATGGGAGGTAAGTATGGAGATGATGAAGGTGATGATAATACAATTGACATTTTAAACTATTTGTACAATAAGAATGTGTACCCAAAACATTGATCTGGTACTTTGTGCGAAGATATGCAAAGAACACTGTTAGTATATATAATTTACTATTTATTTACACAAATTGAAATGAACAGATAGTAACAACAGGTAAGAAGAGAGTTGTCAGACTATAGGCTTGTTTAGCATTATTCATATAAAATTGATGGCATGCTCATCAGAAAGTTAACGTGAAAAATTGTTTGTTTTTTTTTAAAAAAAATTATATAAAGATTTATTTGGGTGCGGTTGCACCCAGAAATTCACACCACATAGCCTGGTCTGTCTTTTCATCCTTTTTGCATGTGAATCTTTTGTGAATCTTTTTATATCAATGCAGTCCATAAATCTGAACAAGTGCAACAATGTGCCTAGAATCTTGAGTGCACAGATTTCTTTTAATTCACATATTTACAGTGATTGCACAGATGTACTCATTGGGCAAAGCATGGATTTGAGCTCTTTGGTTGCCTTCCAAATCCTATTACTTTTTAAAACACCAGATTAGATTTATGAAATCCACTTTTTAGGTGCTACTGTTCTTCATTATTTTGATCTGAATTTCTTTGATTCTTCTTCAGCTATTTTTATCATTATTATATACTATATATGGCATATATTAGATTACTGTCAACTGTATATAGACAGAATCAATCTATCATGTACTTAGAAGATACCATTTTTATCGCTCATGCAAGGGAGAGAAATTAAAGGTTTAATTTACCTTGTCTATATTTCCTTTTTAATAATATAATACTTACCTAAAGTAAAGTAGGTTTAATACTTACTTAAAGTAAGCATGTTTGCATTAAAAAAGCACTTCTAATTAATTAATTATCATAGTGTTGGGGAGAGTCTCCTTTCAGTAGAATTTCACTACACAAGTTCTCAGTGTGCCACCTAGTGGAGTTAGTCCACAATGTGTACATTTAACAAGGCTCAGTCCCTCAAACATGTTAAAGCTGCTGTTTCAGAACCATTTAATTGGCCTGAGTGAGTTCCTGAATTTTTATGTAAATGTGCTTTTTTAGACTTCTCTGTTATACTCCAAACGTTTTACTAAAAGTTCCCAACTTCTTCTGTTATATTTCAGAGGAGGAGAATATACTATGTATGGAGAAGTCTTTTGTTCAGTCTTTAATATCTAGACTAAACTGCAAAAGCTCCTGCCTATAATTCTGGAGAGCTGCTACTGGTCTTTGTAGGTAATATTGTACTAATTAAATAAAAGTTAGACTAAGAATAAAGCATCTTCCTTGTTCCTATGCTCACCTTTGACTTTCTATTCCATTCTGATTGTGGCAGATAGAAGTTGAATAAAGAAATAACTAGGTTGGCTTTTAGTGATTCTGGAATACTGAGCCATCATAATGTTGGGTTATATTTGAAGACTTGTAGTAGTTCTGAATAGTCACAATCCAACTGCAACCTTACTATTCAGTCCCCACAAGCCTCAGCAGAATGGCAGTGGCAGTTTTCCACATAATAGCCAGCTGGGGACATACTCATCAGTGACGACAGAATGCAGTCCACCACATTATCTTCTCTCTGTTCCTGTGGCATCCAAAGGAAAGCCATGGGGCAGAACATAAGTTTCTCTTCCTGCCACTTCTTTTACTCAGTCATCCACTCAGATGGATTAGGATTAACTGATATCATCTTTTTTAAGGAGAACTTTGACTCCTTCCTTCCTTCCTTTCCTTCCTTCCTTCCTTCCTTCCCCTAATCCATCACAGATAAATCTAACCTTTCTGTTCAAGATGAACATCATTTATTGATAAATCAACGCAATTTTCTAAAACATTACTTATATGTATTTTAATATGTTATTTGCTATGTGTGAATATTGTATATATATTCACTATGGAGTACTGTAGTTAGGTTTACTTGAAAGCAGTACAAATTATAGCAGTTCTTATTATGACACTTCTTACTTTCAAAACCTTTTTAGATAGCAGCTACTTTCAAACATAATGGCATGCTTGCCACACATGGATCCTCTCTTCTCACTACTGTGCTTCACTGTACATGGATATATGCATATTAAAAACAGAAACATATTTTTGAAGGAAAAATTTGTATGCTTGAAACATCAAAAAACATTTTCTGCTCTGCACATACTGTTAACCCCTTCTTTCTAATTGTTAAGAAGGCAAACTTATCTTTTATGTTATCTGAGGTTACTTTCTGTTTTTTTTAATCTTTCAGGTTTGCTTGTGGACATAACCAAAGACTACAAATATATGTATTTTGTCTGTGGTATAATTGTTGTTGTTTCAAGCATTTGGCTGTTCATTGGAAATGCAATCAATTATAGACTTTTGGCAAAAGAGAAGAAATTAGAAGATGAAAGACAGAATGCCTTAAAGAATGCTGATTCCAAGGAAGTGGAGCCTTTGACCCACAAAGAGAGTGAAGAAGTTCTCAGCAGATCCAGCAAAATGCAAGACAGTCCTTCAGAAAAAGAAACAAATATTTAACATAAATATACATATTTATAATGTTCACAGTACATGCCAGATGTTTTGTAGTTATTATAATCAATTACAATACCAAATGGCAATAGGCATTTACAAAACCACATGTATTATAAAACACAGTAAATTAAATCACTGTTCTGTTCCTTCTAAAAAGAGAGAAGGGTACAGAAAGAGTCTTCCCAGAACTGCATTAAAATGTTTTTCTCTTCCATCACACTGCCCTGGTAACAACTGACTTCTGTTAAAATGTCTAGCTATTCATAGCTAGACTAAACTTTTTGGATCTTGCCTTCAAGCAACCTGTACCTGTCCAGGAGTGCACAATAATTGCAACAAGGAAATAATCTATTTCCTTGTATGTATCTGGTATAAGAAAGGAGGATTATGCTGGAGTCTTTCAAAATTCCATTGTTTATTCTGCTCTACATTAGTTGGAGCAGGATTTGGCATGGTATTTTATTTTGGTGTCATGTATGCTAGGGCTCCTGCAGAATTTGATGAGTTGCTTAAATATAAATCCCAAACAGGGTAGTGCCGTGACAGTAGGGTCTTCCTTTAACAAATATTCTTGCTCCAACAATGCCTCACCAAAAAAGTGCTACTATAGTAAAGGAAAAAAAATGACTGTATTGACCCATGTCTACTGATCGTTTCACAAGATTATTTTGTGTGGGAGGGGTTGTTTGATTTGTTGCTTTTTTATTGTCCACTAGAAGGAAACAGTTTAAAGTGATAAGTTAAAATATGAAAGTAAAAATGGAATAACTCTTAATAGCTACTTGAGTAAAAAGTGCACAAAAATGTATCACCACTGTTTTTATAATGCATTTTTGGTAGATCCAACTGGGTCTGTTATCTCTGATCAAACTTTTACTATGTGGCTTTTAAAGACGTATGAAATTGTAAGTTTTATTGCTAAATGCAATAATGTTTTCATTTTAGCGGATAAATAGGTTGTTCTCTCCGCTGTAAAATCATTAGACATTTAAATATATACAACCAGATATTAAATAATATCTGAAATAATACTTAGGATACATTGTCTCCTCATTGTATATTGTAGCTAGATATGCTCGCACAAATGTTAGCATCAGGGTATAACTTTTGAACAACGTATTGCCTTGTGATCATCACTTCACTCTGTTTGTATTCACACTTCTTGAAACAAGCTCCCTTACCTTATTAAATACTCTGCCCTTGGTGATCACTATTTTTTTCAAGATGTGAGTGTGAATCATTGCTGCAGACACACTGCTATCTATTAATAATGTTACTCTCAACATGGATTCAGAGTTTTCCTGTTGTAGACCATACAGTGTTTATAGGGATATCAGGGACCAGAAAAAATAATCAGGAGGGAGACTGCATCAGATTTGTGGATTGCCAACTGGCCATCTTTCAATTTTTTCCCATCTTTAGAAGCGAAAATATATATATCTGAATCTAAAGATCATAAAGCAGTAGAAGCTTTATTTTTTTTCTTTTCCTCTTCCTTTGTGCATGATTATCTGAAGAATAAATAATTGTTCTAATCGGTAACGTCCAGTTCCAGACTAGTCTACTCTGGAACAGTGGTCGTGCCTACACTGAATTTTGGTATAAAGACTCCAAAGATCTCCTGTCTGAAAATTAAAATTAGTTGATCAGTGCCTAGATCTAATCAGTTCCTCAGATCTGAACATCATCAGGCAGACCTTCTCCCTTTAAAATTCCTTTCCTTTTTAATAAGGCACCAAGAGATAGTAGGGGATTGTGGATCCCATGATCGTGGACCATGAATGATTCTTACGCCAAGCAAAGAGTTGAGATGGAGCTGGTCTTTCTCAATTGGCCAATATGCACATTAAGCAATGGCTTCTGTACATTTCTTGTAATTGTGCTGAACTACTTTTACAAAATGAAGCATTCATTCCACTATATTAATTAGAAATAGAACCCTTTGACTACCTACCCTTGTGAAGCTATTTTCAAGGGGCACTTCACTCAAGATCTTCATCTAAACAAAGTTTTCAAAAATCTGCACAGTCTAAATTGACATTGAATTTCATCATCTTACAATCATAATATAAAGCAAGATAATCAATTTTGCACATTAAGTGGTGAAATGCACATGCAGTCCATTGTTGATTATCTTATGTTTTCTCCTCATGAAACATAGTTTTAAAAAGATCTCAGACATTCAACTATCACTGATGTTCACTTTTCTTCTTGCTACATTATGACTATACTTTGTTCAAAAAGCAGTACTATAACTCAGCTATTTATAATCAATCCTAGTTGTAAAGATCAAGCTTGTTGTAATGGTTAAGGCATCAGGATAGAAATGGGGAGACAGTTTACTCTTGTCTCAATTTAGGCATAAAGCTAGCAGGATGACCTTGGGTCAAACCCAGTGGCGAAATCCAAATATTTTTACTACCTCTGGGCGTGGCTTGGTGGGCATGGCTTGGTGGGCATGGTGTGGCTTGGTGGGCATGGCAGGGGAAGGATACTGCAAAATCTCCATTCCCACCCCACTCCTGGGGGAAGGAAATTGCAAAATCTCCATTCCCACCCCACTCTGGGGCCAGCCAGATGTGGTATTTGCCGGTTCTCCTAACTGCTCAAAATTTCTGATGCTGGTTCTCCAGAACCTGTCAGAACCTGCTGGATTTCACCCCTGGTCAAACCCTCTCAGCCCTAGGAATTAGGCAATGCCAAACCTCTTCTAAAATCTTGCCAAGAAAAGTGACTGAAGGAATCATGCAAGTGTGCAGTGCACACACAGAGACATAAACAGAGCCATAAGAAATTATCCCTAAATAAGCCACAAGATATGCTGCTGCTTAATAGTTGACATCTACAACGCAAGCTGCTTAATTCAAACACAATAAAGCAAGGGGCAGTCTCGATACCTGGCTTTTTAAACTTTTAATTTTCTAACCAGATCAGAAACAGAGCAAGCAGGAAATAAATGTTGGTTCATAAAGAAATATTGATTTTATCATCCCAGATCACTAATGTAATATGAATTTGGAAGATAGCTTTTTTTTGTTCTATATGTAATTCTTGTTTCCATTCTACTCAACTATTCATATAGCTGCTACAATCCACTATATAATGAATTCCTACAAGATAAGTCTTCTATAATTAATTTGGACAGTTTCCTCCACTAAAACTGCATTTGCAATGAGATGTTAACATGATCTCTGTTCAGTAATTAAAGTCAGACCACTTTATTTTATCTCATATAATTCAATAAGATCCTCTAAAAGCAACTCAGATGTTAACTCATAGCTTCACCGTAGTTACCTTTAGTTCAGCTTCTTAATGTGTCACTATATACAGTAGCACTCAAATTCCATCCTACACAAATCTTGTTGGATTTAGCAGCAAGTCTGAAAGGATATTCTATTTCTATTCACTTCAGGATAACTAGAACATATTATGTCATCCACAACTTTGTGTTTCAAAATTCTTGATAGCAGAAGAGTATTACTTCTACTTGAATATTAAATATTACTTATATTCAAGGAAATGCCAGAGAAGCACTTTCAGGCTTCCTCGCTCATGCCCAATGGCCAAGAGCAGGATTTGTCAGGATAATTAGATGAAATTTCTTGTATTCATCTGAATAGGGCTCATACTGCTGTAGAACTTGTGTAAGGGTTCCATGAAGGGTATACAATTGTGAGGAATAATGAGAGCTATATTTATGTGTCAGCAGCTGGAGCTAGGATGAAGAAATAGAAGGTGTGTGGGGGATTTAAATTTGATTACATTCAATTTCAACCTAATTAGAATTAATTAAATGCACATGGGAATGCATGCATTTAGTATTTTCCTCCTGTCATAATAAAACATGCAATTCATTTCCAACTTTTGAAGATTTCTGTGGCCACACTCAAAGCTTTAGGAAGGTTTTACACATGCACTCTTCCTTATTTTTACATAATGGTAATTATATATTTTCATGCTATACAAAGCAATTGTCCATTGTAAAGTGCATATGGTATACAGGATGTACAATGTTGCCCATATAAGTATATGAAATTACTGAGGAGTGGTGACATCCCTGTCCCCTATGTCATGTTCATCTACCTAGATTGCACATAGATGAATAAAGAAATGTTAAAATTGTATGTAGATTCCATACAATTTCCCTGTGATTAGAACAGATAGTTCTGTAGGCAGACTTTTAAGTTAAAAATGACATGAAAACCTCTGTTTACATGCAGATAGCTTAAAAATAGTTATATTGTCTTTTTCATTAGCCCTAGAAATCTCTGAGGGTATAAGACTACCATCTGACCCTTATCAACTTCTTCCACAAAACAAAAACAGTTCTAAATCATTTCAACCCTGTCCCTTTCAAGAGGTTTTCAGGGCCATTACATTGGGGGGGGGGAGTGCAGGTGTTTGCATGTGGCCACAGTTGCCCATTTTTGCATGGAACACCATGCTAGTATATGGGCCATTTTAGGAGAGGTCAAGAAGCACATTCTGGTCAGAGGTAAGAATGCTGTCCTTGTGAGTGGTGTGATGCCTTCTGTGCATGTAAATGGTGATGAGCTTGGATAAATATGAAGTCCTTAAGGAAAGAAAAGTCTTAACAAATATAGCAAAATACATTTGTTGATTAACTAAGAGTGGAAAAAAAGACACAAACTGCCCATAGTTGGACATTTTGCCATAAATGTCTTCAAAATGAAAATTAAGAGCTTAGATTCTTAAAATATATGTTAGGTTTATGTAGCATATAGGCAGCTTGCTATTAGTGAGGCAGAATGTTTTCACATTTCAAAATTATTTTCTTATATCAAGAATTTGTGGTTATTTGGCAGATTTTGAAGCAAATTAGAGATAGAAACACTTCTAGGTATTTGGTTGGGTTTTTTTTTTCAACAACAATGAACTGTGGTGGCACATTTATCTCAGTTGTTTTTTCCCTCCCTGCCTTCTTTGCCTTAGTGTCTTTCTTTGTATCATTCGCCATTCTAACATTTTTCTGCTTAGCTTATAATTAAAATTGAAAATGTGTGCCATGAACTATTGCCATTTCAAGACCTTTGGCATTTAAAATACTGGCAGTTCAGTTTACTAGTAAAACAGCAAATAAAATTAATTAGCCAAACAATTGGTATTCTAGAGCAGGTTTGTATGTATGTATGTAAAAGGGACACGGTGGCTAAAGAGATGCAGTGGCTCAGTGGCTAAGACACTGAGCTTGTCGATCAAAAGGTCGGCAGTCCAGCGGTTCGAATCCCTAGTGCCGCGTAATGGGGTGAGCTCCCGTTACTTGTCCCAGCTTCTGCCAACCTAGCAGTTTGAAAGCACATAAAAAATGCAAGTAGAAAAAGCCTTTGGTGGGAAGGTAACAGCGTTCCATGTGCTTTTGGCATTTAGTCATGCTGGCCACATGACACGGAGACGTCTTTGGACAGCGCTGGCTCTTCAGCTTTGAAACGGAGATGAGCACTGCCCCTTAGAGTCGGGAATGACTAGCGCATATGTGCGAGGAGAACCTTTATCTTTACCTTTATGTATGTATATTTAGCAGTGACTGATTATAGATTGGTCAAGCTTTGTGTTATTGCTAGAGACAAAATCTAAAAATGGCACCATTTCTTGAGATTGAGTGGTCTTTGTGCTGAATTTTTAGAAGCATTTTCTTCTAGGTTTTGGCCATATGATTCTCTGCAGGTAACAACTGTTTGAGGATAGAAGTTATACTTAACCTTCTTGATGGTGATGGTGGTTGTGTAAAGGGTACATTATAGAGCTGGTTTGGTGTAGTGGTTAGGGTAGAAACCAGGAGACTATGAGTTCTAGTCCCACCATAGGCACAAAACTCACTGGGTAACTTGGGGTTAATCACAGTCCCAGCCTCAGGAAGCAAGCAATGACAAACCATTTTGGATAAACCTAGCTAAGAAAACTGTATGGATTTTTCCAGACAGTCACCAGAAATCAAGACTAACTTGAATACACACACACACACACACACAGAGGGAAGAAAGGAGGAGAGCAAAGTAAGCAGGAGAAAGAAAGGAATGGACAAAGCTCCTTTATTCTTCAATAAAGAAGAATATTTGTAACTCAGGATTGAAATAAAAAGTCCTTAATGCTCCTAAGTGCTGAGCTTGGTTGTTTTCTTACATATGTTTCATTACCCAAACTAACATCCCCAGTGCACATGATGATGTTACCCAATTTGGATAATGAAATGTC